AGAGAGAGCGCGCGCGAGAGAGAGAGCGCGCGAGAGAGAGAGAGCGCGCGCGAGAGAGAGAGCGCGCTAACCCACAAAATTCAAAATGTCAATTTGTGAACGAATATATTTATGAACCCATTGAATGTGTCAATAAATTGAAGTTTTGAATTTTGTGGTTAGCTCCCTCTCGCACTGGACGCCTCATTTTTTTTTATATTGCGTCTTTTTCGCAATTACGATATAGTATTTGGAGCAATTTTCTGTTAAATTAGTTTTTTGTCTCGAAATGTCATCGTAAGGCATTGCCTTTTATCCCTTCGGCCAGGTGTTCGGCACCGTTAGTAACAGAGATTCCTAGAAGGTCACCCATCCAGTGGTGTCCGTGGTATCTTGAGTTGCTTAACTTCCGTGACTTCATAAAGTGTGAAAACAATTAGGAATTGTAAGCTTAATTAGAATGTTGGTCAGCGGTTGAAGTATTGAGGAATTGACATGTTTTCGGCATTGGAATAGGAAGTGAACAAGTGAACCCATTATTCACCAACATTGAAAAATACAAATTACTATTCAATTTAACCACTTGCAAAGGTGATGTGAACTTGTGTTTCTTGTAAATTTCACTTTTTAGGATAATTTCTAAATTTTGCTTTCTTGTTCTCACAGAGTTAAGTACTTAAAATGCTCATTTATCTTTGTGATATTATTTTACAAATTTAACATCAAAGAACTATTAAAACTGTGTGTGTCATATGTGAGAGAAGTGCGATATGTGCACTTTTTTTGAGCTCTTCAATTCCTACCCTGGCTCTTATATGAAGGTGAATTATGAACGGAGGTGCCAAATAGCACTTCGGACGAGATTATTTAAGAAATATTCACTCCTTTGTTCTAAAAATTATTTGCGACAGCAAATGAGATACAGATATGGCTATTATCCCTTATTGTGTCGCACATGATGATATCAAATGTGAAATGTTTATTTGAATAACTATGGGTGGTGTGAATAAAGGTAAGCAATTACTCTTTGCTCAGAGTTTTGGAGATCCTTCGCAATTTTGTATGAATAAAGTGGGTGAGCAATTGCTCAGTCTCTGAACGTACTCTCGACTGGCTGGCAGATGCTCAGAATTGGTATGAATTGGTATAAGTTAAGCGTTTACTCTCTTGATTGAGCCCTTGCTCCATAATTTCTGGGACACATTAGTAGCAGACTCACGATTGAAAACTAAGGTTAAATTAGCAGAGTTTTTACCATGCGCTGACATGCAAATGCAGTGGACTAAAAAAGTTTACAAGATATGGCGATATTCTCGGGATGTAGACTATAAGAATCTTTACCGATTCGAAAAGGACAATGTTGTACGATTTATATCGGCGTTTGCTTTCAGGCGCGTTTTCATATCGCATATATTGTATGTTAATTGGCCATCGCTCATTTCTACTCGGAATTTTTCGGGGTACTGTTTTTTCGAACTTTGTAATGATTCGTTTCGGCCACAGCACACCTCCGGAAGCTGGCTTTTCAAAAATTATTTTATATTCGCTTAGCATTTTAGCAAAAAATAGCTGACCCTCTGGTGCTTTCTGTTCTTCGTTATTGCTACTCATATTCGAATTTAAAGAATACGGAGCAAAGAGCAATGCTTTGTTGTTTCATGATGTGCGCGACACGCATAACGTATGTAATCTCTTTATTACTCAGGAAACCATTTTTCAGAACTTAGCGAACTTACTATCACCTGTTCACAACGAGCAAAGTCATCGGAGACATGCAAAGTTTTTATTCATACGAAATGGAGCTTTTGCTCAATATCATGGAGTAGACTCTTGTTCGGGAGCAAATGTTTTGAAGCAAGTGCTCATTTTTAATCATATGACCCTATATATCCCAGTAACACCCCATTGAGCTGAAGAAAATGTACTGAAAGGAAGCTAATGTAAATGTTGATGAAACGTCTTGAAATTTGTAAACATTTTGGCGATTGTTTTTGTTGGTACACTGTATGAAAAGTTTCTTTTCAGGTTGCTTCGAGCTCATTGAATCTCATGAGGCAAGAGGAACCTCCAGCGGCAAAGCAGCAGCGGTTAAGCCCTTGTGTTTCCCATTTGGACATGAGCTGGCTGGGATGTGTGCTGCTAGCTGCAGACACACTTGGGCAGTTGCACCTCTACAGGCTGACTCCTGTAGCTGACCCTGGTATGTTATTTTGTGCTTGGTGCACTATTTTGTTCATTCATTTTGATGTTTTTGACTGTTGCTGCTTCCAAGCAACAAAGGTGCTGTTCAATTTTTCTATATATTTCTGTCTATCAAATTATTATTATTATTATTATTATTATTATTATTATTATTATTATTATTATTATTATTATTATTACTATTATTAGCAGCTTAAGTCTCGGGAATTCATCCGGTTTTCTCAGGTGTTTGAGGCCAACATTGGCAGACCACATACTTGGTTACAGCTCACGATAAATTCAGCACAGTGCAAACTGTTCGGCATGTTTCCAAGAAGACCGATTTTTTATATTTATTATTGCAACCAGCTTCCTAAGGAGAAAATCTAGGGACCGCGTCGGTTCCTCTAAGATACTTGGCTCAAAAATGTGGGCTGTTTCCAACAAAGCAATGTCTTGTACTTCCCAGTCTTTTGAATGACCTGGGAGTTTAGCCAGGTTATTATACAAATTTTGCGGACCAAATCCCAGAGCTCCGATAATTATCGGAACGACCTTTGCTTTTGCGCCCCACATTCGACTGATATCGATTTCCAAACTCTTGTATTTAAGACATTTCTCTGCCTCCTTGGTTTGGACATTTTGATCGCGTGGTACAGCAACATCTACTAGTAGACACGTTTTTATCCAAATCGCAGATAATAATATCCGGTTTGTTCGCCGCTATCTTGCGATCAGTTTGAATTTGTTGCTCGTACAAACGTCCGGCAGACGCCACCGGCGTTGGTGAGTGTTCGTACCACTTGGAGCATCTGTTTGGAACTTCGAGGTTGTTACAGATCTGGGTTCACATTGTGTTCTCATTGGAGGTAACTACACATCCTATCGTGTCTTTTCACGTATTCAATCTTTGCTAGAATTGGACAAAATGAGACGATATGATCAATGGGTTCTACGTGGTCCTGGCAAATGCGGTATTTGTCATCTTGGGAAATTTTAAGATCCATTTTATCATAATGATGTGGACTCGACTCCTGACCTTGGGCAGCTATTAGAACTGCTTCCGATTCTGGCTTCATTCTTCCCCTGTTAAGCCACATAAATAATTGATCTTTATTGCTCGCACCTTGTCCATTCTTTTAAATTTTGTTCATAGAGTGGTTTATCTCTCCGCGAATTCTTTAACTTTTATGTCTCACATTTCACGTTACGTAGCATCAGAAGTTCCGAATCTGTATTATGCTGCGGATCTTGATTAGTTTTCTTCTTCTTGCTCCACTTACGATGTATGTTTCCCATTCTTTGAACACATTTACCAACCAGCCTCATTAGTTCATTTTGATGACATACATCCTATTCAGACTTTTGCATTGGGCCACGAGACTTCAATTTGACTGAGGCATCTTCCTCAAGTGACAAATAAAGTCCATGTACATCAGCTCAAGGGTGGGCGACATTTTTTGGGGGGGGGGGGTTAGTTTTTCGATCCTTGAATCGAATTTCTTGCTCGGCACAGTCAACGAGTCCGAAACTGTACTCCGCCAGTCACCACCGCAGACAGCGCCAAACTACATATTGCAGATATTTTATTTCTGGAGTTCAGAGCAGGCTGCAGAAAAAATCTCACTCCTCTAATACTTCCTGCGAATTTTCTCTTGCATTGTGTGGTTCGATATATCACATTCTTCAATGTCCAAGTATTTGTTGGTTTTATTTGGCTCAAGATTTTGAATCACAGTGTGCATATCAACTTCAATGCCTTGTGACGTCACTTTGCCTCTTTTAACTGACTTTTGCACATTTGTGAAGATAAAATTTCATGCAGATGTCATTGCTAAAATCATTGACGACAGACAGCATTTGGGAGAGATGCGCTTATCAAATATACATGTAAATCAAATGATATACTGGTCTTTCATCACGATGGAGCTTGTAACCTAAGCCAGTGTGCGATAACTGTGTAGAAAGTGGGATCAAACTAATGCAAAACAGCAGAGGGGAATATCCTTGAAAGAACAAAAAAAAAAAAAAAATTAAAATCTGAATACTTGTTTCCACTACCTTTCCGCTGTTTATTAGTAACCTGGTACTCCACGACTTCATACTAGCCTTCCAAAACTCAATAAGTCTAGGATAAAATCGATAGAGCTCTCGGGGTCTTCAAAATCCAATTGTGTATCACGCTGTCAAAGGCTTTGTGGTAGTCAATTGAAGCCATTCTTAAATTCCGTTTTCGTGTCCTTACATCATTCAAAACGACTTTGTTTAGGAGCATTATTTCCTTACTGCCGTAGGGAACTTTCACATCCTTTCTGTTCATTTGGTAACACAGGGGTCTTCTCTAGGTGTCTACAATTTTTGTTAGCTATGGCTGCAGTTACAACATTGTAGATTTAGATTTATTTAGTCAAAAACAGCAAAAATTGTATGTGTAACCACCGACTCACCCGATTACGTGATTTCCTTAGGCGATTCAGCTTTGCCCGGCTGCTTCGTCGGCAGACTCCCTAGAGGGAGGCATGCGTGATTGCCTAACTACTGGAGAGAAAGACTGACGCATTTTCTTAATATTACTTTAATCAATCTTGAATTCAGTGCGGGTTAAGCCCAATGTCATAAACAAAACTTACAATGAACTTACAACTAATCTTAACTTAGAAAAGGGCAGTCGGCAGGGCCCGCCCGGGCGATGGCAGGTCGCTTCGTGATCGTGTCTTTCACGCCCCGGCTCGTACTCGCTTGGCCCTTGCGATCAGTCACTCACATGTGGTGCCCCGTCCCGTAGTTGGACTTCCGTCACGCGAGTCTGGCTGCGATGTGGGCGAGGCGGCGTGTCATTCGGGGCAACCAGGCACGAATAGTCCCGGCTCCGAATCAAAGTAACAAGTGCTCTCCCCGCTGCCTCCAAAAACAAGTGATCTCCCTGCTGCCTCCGAAACAAGTGCGCTCCCCGCTGCCTCCGAAACAAGTGATCGAGCCTTCTGCGGCGGTCCCTCAGGAAGGCTCGCATGCCACGTGATTCCTCCCCCGCATCTCACATCGCAATTGGTCGTCGCGGCACCCGTGGTTCCTCCGCCTATCACGGCGCCAGCGGCAAAGCTGTGCCCCGGCAACTTTCTCCCAAGTAACCTCCGTCACGTAAATTCTAAGAACAGGGCACGGGTAATTCCGTTGCTCGGTTTGGGGGTGCGGGAGGCGTAATTCCCCATGCGTCACGAGGGAGCGGGCGGCGTAGATTGCGCTGAACAAAGGAGGTGCATTCCTCCGTTCCCTCGGCGCGCTTAACGGCCCTCCCAGGTATCGCAGGAAAAGGCGCATTTCCGGCTGCCCTTCACGCAGAGGCTATTCCTTATTGAATAAAATATTTAATTCGCGTCGCCATCTGATATGTGCGACCGTCCCATTACATATGTGACGTATGGGGAGAAGATCTACGCAGTTGTGTGTGTGTGTTCCAGAATCCCTTTCCATAGTTTTTTACTGTAAATAGTTGAAAGATAAGTAAAAGTTAAATATAAATAAAATTTTAAAATCCGCGAGAATAGGAACATTTGAAAAACTAGATATTTTCGTTCCCGAGTTATAGAAAACTTATTTGTAATGGTAAACGAACTGCAGGTTTGATTATTCTGCATTACGAACAAAATAACTCACCCTTATCTGTACTCTTACCACTACAACCCAAAAGGAAAGATCAACAAAACGTGCGCATAGTGAAGTTACATTTACGTCCAGAAGCAAAACAAGGGACCATCTTAGAATTTGTTCAATGTTACAGGAAAAATTACCTTATTATGGAATTCATGGTATCGTCCTAGATTGGATAACCTCGTACTTTAAATATCGATCTCAAAGCGTAGAAATACCGTACTGGCACGAAAGGACATTATTTACTTCTCTTTAAAATTCTTTACCGATTGAATATGGCATCCCGCAAGGTTCGACCGTAGGTCCTATCCTCTTTCTGTTATACGTAAACGATGTGCTCTCGTCTTAAAAAAGGAAGAACAGTTCTGTTTGCCGATAACACGAATGTTCGTTGCAAATAAGAAACAATAAATAGTACGATTTAAGAAGTTTCAAAGTGGTTTTGTAATAACAAATTAATAGTTAATTCAGGAAAAAAAGTTTCCATGCATTTTTGCATTTGAAATCAGCAATCGCGTGCTCCATTGAAAATGAACAATATGCTGATGTTAAGGTAACAAAATTTCTAGATCTCTCATTTCAGTCAAACTTCAAATGGAATGTACATATAACAGAATTAAACACTAAATTAAGTGTACTGTGACGTCATGGATACTCACAGCGAACACAGACACAGAGCTTTCATATAACAAATATATTTATTAACGAAAAATAGAGACCGAAAATATTACTATATAATATTCTTCTACCCCCTAGCCTGATAGACTACTAATCCACTGATGCGGGAGCGATCAAACCGGATTGATGATCGGTTTCGATTGTGGCATTGCAATACTACTTACTGAAGCGGCAAAGCTTAGCTTCGTGAGTATGTACACTGGACACAGTCCGTTCTGGCGTAGCAAGGAATGTTTTGCCTCTATGCGATGAGCTGATCTTATCCGATTGAGAATCGCGTGATTGGGCACAATCCATCTCGGCGTGCCCACAGCATGCTCCGTGACAGATCACATGGACAAAGTCCTGCCGCAGGCTCGTCACTTCGTGACTTGCTTGAGCAAGTTTGTGCACATACCACCGAGTTCTCCCACGTTCAACCCACCACTGGTCTTGAGCACTCCGTTATATAGACGAGGTACGTGGCTACCTGCGTCACGCCCCCCAAGCTGTTATACAATTAAAGGTTTCAAGACGGAAGACCCCAAAGCTTTGTCTCCCGTGTCGGTTCTTGATTACGTGTGAAAACCCTTTCTTCCTGTTGGCGATCTAATCCTCTACAAGTCGTCCCAAATTACGATTCCACGAGACGCTCGCTAATACGTACATTTACCGTTTACGCTACTCATAGAAATTCTTTAATTTGTCAGATCTCCACTGGTCGTCGTGTTTGAAAATGTACATTCCGCTGAGATATGATTTATTTCATGGAAACCTCATATGTACCAAACTTACTGACCTAGAAAAAATTATCAGATAATGAAAAATACATCCGCGTGTTACCTGCCATCTTCTTCATTGAGCTTGAAATTTACCATTTGCATGATATTTATTACGAATTACAATGTTCAAGCGATTAGCGATGGACATATTTCATGCCACTGATATTCTATGATAAACGCGTCGAGAATCACATTCAGTGCCATATCATCCTCAGTACCCAGAATCCCCATAAATACATGTACGTTACTTACCACGCCCCCATTGCAGATAAATTAAACCAATTGAATGTCGTACAAATTATAAGTCATCAAGTAAATCTTTCTGTTGCCGTAACTATTTATAAATTAGAGACTAATACTGGTCAATAAAGAATTTTATTTAACAAAGGTGATTATATATGATTGGTTTAACATTTGTATTGTATAATTTTTTTAAAGGCTCATGTGCTTGTAAAAAGCATTATATGTTCCGGTCCATGACCCCCCTTTGGATCATGTTTTGTGCAGTTTTCCTGATGGCTTGTTTTGCTTCTGGACGTAAACATATTTTTACTATGTGCATATTTTGTTGTCTTTCCTTTGGTTGTAGTGGTAGGAGTAAGGTAAGGGCGAGTTACTATTTTGTTAGCAATGCGGAAAATAAAATCTGCAGTTCATTTACCGTTGCAAATAAGTTTTCTATAACTAGGAATGAAAACGTCTAGTTTTTCAACTGTCGCTAATCTCGCGCTTTTTTAAAATTTTATTTTTATATATGTATTGGAAAGGGATTCTGGAACACCTGAAAAGTGCGCAGATTATCTTCTTCCCCATAAGTCACTTACGGTTTTTACTGTTTTTTTACTAAATAAATATAAATCTAAACAAAATAAGGAATATACTTAAATATAAGACAACCTTTGGTTTTGTGACATGAAAGTGATTCCCAAAGACAGTCTGGAGACTACTTCAAAACAAATTATTTTTTTTAAAAAGCTAAATTATTTATACATTACGGACATGTTAACAAATTAACAAAACATGTTAAAACGTGTTAATAAAATTACGGATTTGTTAACAAAACTATATATAATTGAGAAAAAATTACATATAGTCCCCGCTTTACGAGTAAAATTTTAACCCCGAATATTATAACAACTTTTCCATTATGAGATCTAAATGTAAGCAACCTCATGAAGTCACTTATAGGATAAATATTAACTCGAGCTTACTAAGCTCTTAATTGCAAATCACTCGAGCCGTTTTGGGAGGCATGTCAGAATTACTTCCCAGTGTAAACTACCAGCGAACATGTATCTATCATGTATAGCAATGCATGGCTATTTTTGACGCGACTACAATTCGCAGAGCGGTGAGTCTGGTTTGGATAGGGTAAGAAGAGGTTGAGCTTCTCGAACGGTTCCAAGCTTAATTGGATTCCCATTGTGGTCAATTTTGATTTTCCCGACTCAAACATTGTTCGTTCTTCTCGCTGGCTAATCCGCCGAGCTGCGTGGGAAACATTCGAGAAAGAAATACGGATATCGGATACCTGCCCAAACGATATCGATGCTGCGGTTGTTCATTTTACTGTTGGCGTTCTTCTTGCGACGTCAATTGTCATCCCTAAGTCGTCGGGTCACTCCCGACCTCCTCGTGCCCTGGTGGAATGCCGGTTGTGCCACCTCGGTGCGTGATCGGAAAAGGGCATTAGCAATGCTTACTAGTTTCCCAACCATGGATAATCTGATCAGTTATAAAGGATCACGGGCTAGAGCTAGAGTGACCATATGGGAAATAAGGCCGCGTCCAAGAGAGCTTATATTTCATCACTCTTGCCGTACGCCCCCTAAAGTAGTGTGACGAAAGATCTGTGGAAGACTTCCTTCACCTTCCTGTCTCAGGGCTTCTGGCAAATAGAAATCTTCTCACCTCACCAGAAGATATAGTTGAAGAATTGGCCTCTCACTACGAGCATATCTCCAGCTCCGTACACTACTATCCTAGCTTTCTGAAGAACGAACGAAGAATGTAGAACTGCAGACTAGATTTCTCGAGTTGTATGGACGAAAATTACAATGCTTCTTTCTCCATGGATGAATTTTCTTGTGCCCTCACTTGTGCAAAAGATACTGCTCCAGAACCAGACCAGATACATAATCAATTGCTTTAACATCTAACGGAATATGCTCGTTCTTTTCTTCGCATTTTCAACTTGATTTGGAGTGACCATTCCCTTCCAAGAATTGTAAATACTATAATAGGTAATCAATAAAGGAGGTAATTTGTCGAATACTCTCTCTCTCTCGTTCTCGTAAGTGAGAAAGGTTGAACGAGAATGGTGTCCACGAGAATCTCGTGCAACGACAACCTATTCTCGAGAGCGAGGAGACTCGATAATCTCGTAGCCAGGGCTATCAGACGGAGGGCTCCGCCAACGGTGGTCCGCAGACAACACGACATTGCGTCCGGGCACAGAGCATGGAAATACGTGACACTGCGTTGAAAATTTATGGAATTTCTTGGTGTAGATTTTGCCCTTTCTAGTAGTGACAAAGAACGGAGAAACGTGTCTTCGCACCGATAAATAGGTCTTCCCAGGCCGCCCAAACTTGCTTCATGCATGACTTTGTATTTATCGCAAAATAAGATTATTTGCTTAAATATGACCCTATTTATAACATTCGCGAAAATAATAGCACAAATTCCTTATTCGGTATTGTATTTATAACTAAAACTATTAAAAAGTGACATTGAATACTGATAGAGATATTAACTATTCTTATGCCAGGGAACAGAAGTGTAACGTTTAATTCAAAATTAATGATTGAAACATTTCAATTCAATTACATTTCATTCAATTAATGTTAATTAATATATTTATTTAAATTAAATGTTAATTTTAATTATAAAGTAAAAATTTTAATATATTAATATTTTTGAATTAATATATGTATTTTTTTATATTAATTAAGAGACAGTGTTTTTGAAGTGGCTCCTCAAGACGCTTTTTACAGTGTAAGCTACCTTGCCTAGCAGGAGGCCCTTGGCCACATGGGATGTTAATGTCAATAATAATAATAATAATAATAATAATAATAATAATAATTATTATTATTATTATTATTATTATTATTATTATTATTATTATTATTATTTTTATTACAAATTTTATCAAAGTTGGCTGCTAATGTCAAAATATATTCAACAAATACTTCACTCTTCACTTATTTCATATTTTAACTTTTCTAAAATTGTAATTGTAGGAAGTAGTCATTTGCAAGCAAAACATTGAAAACTGAAGCACCCAAGCACAAAATATTGATGATAAAAGGAATTGACTTCAATTCAGTTGTTGTGATCCATCTCAGCCTTTTTAAATTTATTTTTTATTTTGTTATTTTTTACTTGTGTACTGACGATACTTTAACGTCATGAATGTGTAAATAAGCATTTGATTATTGTGCGAGAGAGCAATTATTATATTTAATTTAAATCAATGAATTATGACAAAATCCTTGCTCTATACTAAGCAGTTTTTATCACGAATCTCTTCCTCAAATTCTTCTCATTGCCGCAAATTCAAAATTTCAATATCTTTGAGGTTTCTTTACAAATAATTTTTACATTGTCCAGTTTGTATATTTAATTTAGTCTTAACACTCTTCAATGCCTTGTGCACTGTTGGAGCTCTTGTTTTCTTCTTTTCTGGAAGATCCTTTCAACTTATATATGATGTTCTCGCTAGATAACTTTTAACTTGTTTTTAATGTGTGATCCTCATTCATGAATACTTCATGCTGGACAGAACTGTGCATTGATGAGTTGAAGCGAATCGTTCAGTTCCCTCGGTCCCCTTTATTCACAAGACATATTACAACAGTACCTTACGAGACCCTCTACCCACAAACCCATTGTGTTACATGAACTCGCATTACTAATGCAAATAAATTTTCACCGATATTGAGATAACCAAAGTGAAGAGTTAACTATAACCGAATCTTATGCTAGTGCCTATTTGTTATGTTTATGGATTGGGACAGTGTGACTTCAAGTAGCTCTAACCTAAAGTTCACTACATGCAGACTTGAGGGTTTGTGATTGATATGAGACTGTCCTCAAACAACAAAATAAATGATGTTGAACCATGAATACAGGAACTAATTTTATTTATAGTTATTAATATTTGTTGTTAACTTTCCTTTTAAAGTGCATTATGAAGTCACCTTTAAAAATTACATAACATAGAATACTCTCGCTGTAGCGTTAGGGTTAAAGGAAATAGGGACAAAGGGTAATTGGTGTGCAATTCTCTTTCAGTTGAAAATCATATGTTCGTATTAATAAATGCACTTATGTGCCATGTCCTACAAAATTTAATGCAGAGTGCCGGAATTATGTAGGGATATCAAAACGGAAGAGGAATTCAGGTGATGAGTGAGCACCTGTAGTATAATGTCCTCGTAATACACTTTAGTCTTTTACATCTAAGACATCTTTAGTCTGTTTTTCAGTCCTTTTTTATTTTAAATTTCTTCTTAATCTTGAGTTGATGGATAAGGTAGTGATTGTAGTGTTTTTCCTGTCAGAAGAGTAAATCTAAAGAAATGTGTGACTTTGGTGGAACAGGGCCTTTAATCTGGGATTAAAATCAATCGGAACATATTGGATACTTTTTTCCTCTCTGACATTCAGAATACTTCAACTTGCAAATGGCAACATTTATTGACAAGTTCAGTACATTTACTTATAGTTACAAATGACTAACAATAAACATGTTTCCGAGCACAGAAATATTGTCATCCCAACAGGAAACATCAAATATACATGAATCTATTTTGTTGTTTTTGCCTAACAATCCTATTAATGCTTTATCTGTCTGTTTGAAGGTGGAGGCTCCATGACAGTTCCACATGTAGTAAGATTGTTGGAGTACTGCTTAGTGACAGGGCTTGATTGCTGGGATTTGCTGGTATGTTTGAGACCTGGTTTGGTGGATGCCGTGGCAGACCGCTTCTCTGATGGTTTTAACCGACAATTGGCACCAGTGCAACAGTATCATTATGTCCATTTTCTGAACATAAAAACATCATTATATAGGTAAGTGTAATTCAATTCATGTAGTGTGTTTGGAAAATTCTTTTTAAAAGGAATAGAAAGTGAAAAATAATTCCTTTTTGCATTTGGTCACACAATACTGTACCAGGTTTGTTCTCAATATGCACATGTTACTTCAAAATGTTTGGATATTATTACATTAAAAGTTTTGGATATTATTCCCTGCTTTCTGTTTCTACTTACAATGGCACAAATGGTTTGTTTGTTATTGGCTATGTGAAATTTATTTATTCTTTTTGTGAAGATTAGTGTTCTATTTAAGTTGTTTTATGGCACTTGGTGTGTACGTATGATTTAATTTGCATCTTTTTCACCCTCAATGTGTATATCTGATAAAATGGGTTACGTTTAATTAAAAACAAATCTTTTTCTGACCCTCTCTTGTCCATTGTAAAAATGTTGATTGATAGTGGTGTCACGTGATTGTTAAGAAAAATTGATTGTTAATATTCTTTCTCTTTTATTATAAATATTTGTACACCTTGGTTTTCAGTGATGTATTTGACAATCGTATTTCAAATGTGAAATCCTTTTTATGTCTGTTAATTGCTTTTAAAAGGTCATTTTTTTAACTGATTGTAATGAATCTAGTGATGCACTGTTTAGTTTTGCATATTATTGTGATAAATACTGTGACCGTGTTTACCCAATTATAAGATCAAGTTTTATTGTAAATATCTGTGAAAAATACAAGATTTGCAAATGAAACCTCCTCAGGTTCAATATTTTTACATCGTCTTTTCATGTCATGAAATTCAAAAGCTGGTGTAATAATAAGCTGCAAAGGAAACACTCGCGCGCACACACACACACACACACACACACACACACATCTATCTAACCTACGTATATTCATGGATGTATTCTTTACTTCCACTGCTGAATTCAGTCCAGTATTTTTGAACAGGCTGATAAAATAAAATCTTAATGAAAATTGTAGCAGAGATTTTGTTGAGGTACGATGATATAAGAATTCACAAATTTCAAGTTAATGGTTGTTAAAGAAGCAGAAGGCATGGTAAAGTATGAAACAGGAAGACAATTTGGTGTCACAGAATTGATCATTCATAGATGGCATCAGATAAGGCAATATAAATTCAGTATGCAAAACTTCCGGAGGGTTCTAAAATGTCAGGAGGAAGTTCTAGTAGTCAGGAAGAACCTGAAAGAAAGTAACAGAAATACATATGAAGATGATTGTAGAGACAAAAATTATGACAAGTATGATTGAATTGACGTACGACTGAGGGATTGTGTCAATATCTATCATCCATGCACCCCCAGAAAAATCCTGATGTAAGGAAATACACGTGTGTTAGGATGATTGGTTTGCAGTATGCTCTAATACCCAGAACTATTTACTTTAGCATCAGCTCATATTGCAAACCACTGAGAATTGTCTTAACACATGTGTATTTGTGTTATAATGTATGAGGATTTTTTGCAGGGTGAACGGGTAATACATGATACGTGTGTGTGTGTGTGTGTGTGTGTGTGTGTGCATGGGCGTGTGTGTGTCACAAATAAGAAAATAATGATAGCATAAACAAAGCTATTTGTCTTTCTCATCAACAATATGATTTTCTTATCTTAATTTCTTATCACTTAAATTTGTGGTTTTATTGTGACTAAATAGTACGTGTTCATTAAGTACATAAAATATTCCTAGAAGGTGTCTTCAAAATTATGGAATGATCTCATAATCAGTCGTCTTGGAGTCTGGTAAAAATGATATGTAGAATATGAAAATGAAATATTTGATGTAGATTATGAAATATATTGTTACAGTCTCTTTGTTAGTGTTGCTACAGTTTGGCTGTTAGTTTTTTGTAATTGCATGTCATTTTGTATTTTTTTTTCAGTACTACCTTTTGTATTGTTAACCACAATTCTAAACCAAATTTCTCTCCATCTCCCAGTGTAAAGTAAATACTGGAATGAATCCTTGCAATTTTGAATACTTTCGAATATTAAAATATGTTTGGTTCCCAGTTTTGTTTACTGGAAACCAATTTCGATAGAAAATCATCGTGATATGTAAATATATATTTTAATTTATAATAAACATTAAAATTTGCTCAAGTAAAATTGGAGCCATTTAGTTTAGAACTGTCAAATGTTACATCATATGCAATGTTTCTGAAAATCTGAATGTGAGCCAGGTAATGAAATATTCAGGGAACTCTGATGTTCAGCAGGTTGCCAGTCATTTGTTGGTTATTTATCATTTGGTAATAAATACAATGTGATTATTGTTGGAAACTTTTTGAAATAAATTAAAGAAGCATATATCAATTATTCCTTTTTTTACTTTTAAAGAAGAATATGGTTCTGTACTGCAGTTCATTAAAGGAAGCTTTACATAATAACAGTTATAAACATTATTTTGTTTCATCAACATTTTATATTGTTTTAAAAGTGTCATTTTTTTAGACCCGACATGTCTATGTACCAATAATGAAGTACATTTAAAACAACAATATATGGTAAAAATTGAAGTAACAGTTGAGTGAGTCGTGCAAAAGACAGATATAAATGTGAATTTTTACATTTCAGTATTCATGGTAAAGGCCTTCTGTAGCTGTGCATTGAAATAAGCTTTTGGTTGGACTGGTGAAATTTAAATCTTAAATTGACATGGAAATTACTGTACATCTTGGATGGGCCATGGCATATTCCAGTTCCTCTGACCTGCCATTCTGAAAGTTAAAGCTTGCTAGAATGTGATAGTGACCTTGTTACCTTCTTGTTGTGCCAAAGAAAAAGGGTTGTTGAACCTTGATTCTGTTGCTCTAATAGAACACTGGTGGCGTAATAAGAAAGTTTGCTCTTTGAACATTTAACTTAATATGACAATTTCATAAATTTATATAATATTTTAAAACTAAATTTGTTTATTTGCTTAAAGTGTTTGATCTTGTTTTATTGTAAAAGTAGTTTTGTTTATTAGATGTCAAACTGTAATGCAAGAGAAACATCAGCAGCAGTTTGAAAATTGAATACAGCTTGTATGAGAATTCCTTTTTCAGAATTGATACATTAGCTTTGCTTTTTGTAGGTTGACAGTTAGTGGCCAGTCTAAGGCAGCTGATCTGACATCTCTCCTTATGTTACATTCTGTGGCTACTGCATTCAAGTCTTTGCTGCGACCTTCTGATTTGTCATCTCACGACAAAGGTCCTGCAGACAGCTTAGCTGCTGTCATGACTGAACCTCTTGCTGATGTGGACAAGGTAACCTTTAAAGCAAATGTGCTTTTTGGCCACCCATGCTTTTCTATTTGGCTTACCTTGTTTCTGTTCTTGAGTTTTTCAACTAAGGATGTGTTTGTATGTTCTTCAAAACGAAACCTCTTATAAATTTCTTACAAAACTTTCACTAGTGTGTCGTATGTTCCAGTGTGCATAAATAGCCTACTTTCTCAACTGAAATTAGGGAGAGAAGGCTTGTATGAGATCCTGCTGTCTTGTCTTTTTCTGTCTCTGTGGTTGAATGTTGTGTTTGTGTGTTTATTTGTTTGAATCTGGGTAATATGTGCAGTTTATTCATTGTCCATTTTACAGAACATTTACTTAACTTATCTGATTTCTGATTTTATTTGGGCTAGTCCTAGACTATTTCGTATGGTTCAGTGATACATATATTGCAAAGTAATGTGCCAGCGACTTTTAAAATGAATAGCAGTTACCTCTCAACAATTAACATTTATTCACAAGTTGTTTGGAAAGTTTTCGTAAGATGAATGGATCATCTTCAAGAATTAAAATATAAATCTTTAAGTATTGCGCTTAATGAAAAAATAGAAAATTAAAAGTCAATTGAAATCGTAACTTAATACCTAGAAATGTTACGAGTGCTATTACTGCAGGCTGGAGTGTAATGAAGCTTCAATTTTTAATTTGGACATGGTAGTAATAACACTTTAACATTTCGTGGTATGTTCAACAATTTATGTCACCATAAAATCTCACGATTTATGATTTTATGGTGACTGATTTATGATTTATGATTTTGACATTACTGCGTTAGTAAACAAATTCTGTTGTTGCAGCACGTTACTACAGTATTTATTGTGAGGTTTTGCTTGCGATATATCTATTTAAACAATATTTGTATACCATGGTTCGAGAAAAGATGGATGCCAATAATTCTTCTAAGATACCTAAAGATATCTAAAGAAATGACATTCGGTGAGGAAGTTGGCATGTCGACTGTCAGATCATCAGTAAATATGATTACCAAAAAGTTTCATTTGGTGGAATGCCAGGAAAATGAGATTAATTTACTAACTACAAATTTTTTAATTGTACTATTAATATTGCAATTAATATTAATTATACCCAAAACTAATATTAGTTACTTTTATTCTGAATTGTTTGAATCTGATTTGTTTTGTAAATGGCTTTTTTTTTTCTTAATGAACATTTGACTTGCAATGAATCAATGGTTGTTTATATTGCTAAGGATGTTAAATTTCTTAATATACAGGTAGGTACAAGTGCACTTAACAAACCTGCAGGGTTGCATGTTAACAGGGGTTAAAGACGCATGTGACCGAAAAAAGTTTATATTATTTCGAAATATGCACTACAAAACGCAACAACACTGCTTTATTAAAATTTTCTCATCAAACCAAAATGGACTTGTTATGTAATTCATGAATTACATAACATCTAAACTAATATCTTGTGAAGTTTATTAATATATTTAATTAATTTACTATGTTACAAAATTCGGCAGCCTAAATTATTTTTATTTGCATTAAAAATGAAATTGCTTTTATTGTATGATGGCAGAAAAAAAGTATTGCAACACTGGGAAGGGCACGAGTAATCAGTTGGGGATTAGGGATGTTAGGGATGGGAGGGGGATCGTAGTAGCCGTGATAAACATTTCACGAGTGACGCCCGGTGACGTAATGGCAGAGTGACGAAATGGCCCGGACGTGCCATCTACTCCGCAGCTTTAAAAGGCGCAGTCCATTGCGATAACATTTAGTCCAGACTTTGGTATGGCATCACACTCAATCGTCCGTTAAGCAATTGGACCAGTTTGAGCGGGGTCAGATTGTCAGCCTGCGCGAAGCCGGGTGGTCATTTGGGCACATTGCTGTCCATGGGGGGCCTTGATGTGACGTCAGTAGTGAGGTGCTGGCGACGATGGATAAACAAGCATTCCCATAGCTGTAGACCTACTTCGGGTCACATACGTCTACGCATCGTCATACGCATTGTGAGGAGACTGTATAGCCACACACACGCCAAGATACAGGCA